TTCATTTGACATCCATTTGATATAAACTGTATTCACTTCATTTAGGATATAAGCAGCAGTGTACAGTAGCCATCAAATCATATCAAATGAGTTAGATATGGAAACAAGTGTGGAAATACTTATATCAACTTATTAAATTTGATGGGACATGGTGTAAACAGTCTAGACTCGGCAAAAATGTGGCTAGTTAGTAATGAGGAGAATTGAAAAAGAAAGGGATAGGGTAGGTTGGGGAGGAGGGGAAGGAGTTTCCCATCATGCCAAGAAATTGAACTTTTAGAAAATCAATGCACACAGACATAAACTGCAAACGTTTAAGGACTGCAAGAATATGAAAAGTCTAATAGCAATACTACAGAATTCAAATCAAAAGTAATAGAGCACCAATCAAATCTCTTGGAGCTTATGATGAAGTTTTGTACACATGAGAAGATCCTATTGACTTTATCTACAGAAAGTTCCTCGCTACGAAAGAGTAGTAATTGCGTTGACATCTGCCAAGTTAATTCACTAAAGATACGTACGCGCAGTTGGTCAAAGTGACGACAATACAATAAAAAATGTTCGTTTCGTTCATTACATAGACATAGTGGACTATTAGCGAGTTTTTTTTTTTTTTTTTTTGAAACAAGTAGAATTTGAGGGAGCTGCATTCCATTGGTAGTCTGGCGTGGATAATTTGAGCTATTGTGCCACCAGTATAATAAAAAGACAGCACTCTAATGTAGGCTCGTTATTTTTGATTGGTAACATTTTATACGATTTGACAGCATATTCCATGGACCAATTACAGAAAACGAGAACGATAGATAGAAGCTGGTTGGTGGGTGGGCCGTCTTTACTAAAACTTTCCTGGAAAGGTGATGATAAGACATGGGTAAGCATGAAGTTATATACATATTTCTTTAAAAAAAAAAAAAAAAAAAACATCGTTCCATTAATTTTTCTACTATTGATAAAAGAAAGATGGGCCTACAATTGGTTGGAATAGATTGGTTATCGTTTTTGTAAACTGGGGTAAAATTAGCCATTTTCCATTCAGAAGAAAATAAGCTAGTGTTAATGGATTTATTAAAAAGATAACTTGAAGGATAACAAAGGATATCTGAGGCTTCTTTGAGTAACCGAGAATTGATAAGATCAGGACCGACAGCTTTTGAGCAATCAACACTTAGAATGGCGTGTTTAACATCAGGGTTTACATTATTGTTTGAAGTATTTCTGTGTTGGTGAACTCCTATAGTTTCAAGATTAAATAGTCTTGGGGTAAAAAAAACAAGATCAGGGTCATCATAGTAAGTATAAATGCAATCACTTTCTGTACCAGTTCTAGCATTAAAATCGCCAGCTAATGGAATTTGCTATCACCATTTATTAAATTATGCATTTCAGATTCAATATTGTTAAAAGCGTCCCTCCTACTGTACTTGTAATTTCTAGCATCAGTAATTGTTATATTTATTGTTAGTAAATATGCGTTAATTTTATCGTCAAGAGATGGAAGATTTACGTTAGAATCATCGACGTTTGACTGAGCACAGAAAAAGTAATTAAACAGGCAAGCTTTCTGAAAATCATCTGACATTATAGAATCATTTTGTATCAGAGAAGGTATGGAAATTTACCGGAGTTGGATAATAATAATCTAACAGTTTTCCACCACTAAGGTTAAAGAGTTTCTACAGTTCTCCACATAAGGTATTAATATTGAAGATAAATCATCTTGGTGGCGTTAACACATACATTTCTAACGTGTCATGAATGTTTGAAAACGAGACGAAACAACAGAAATGACGTTCTGCTTCATCAATCTTGGTATTGTTATAATAACGATAGTATAGTAATGCTCTATTACTGAAATGACCTAGTATTTTCTTAAAATGCATTGTTTCTCAAAAATTCCAATTCAGAGTTTGAGTGTGCAGCTCCAAAATAAAGCATTAGTGTTTGTAAGATTGGAGAAAAAAATCTATATATCCAATATTTAGTGTGCTGTATTGTTCAGTTTGCTGCAATGGTTCCATTTATTATGCTAATTTACACGAAATGAATTCAAATACACGATGTATGTACAAAGTCAGAGTTAACTTGTATATAAATATTGTCATCAAATTGTATTCAAACGCACGTAAAACCGACATCAAGACGAATGAACAGATGATGAAGCATAAACATTAGAATCGAACTCTTCAGAAACAAAAGACCGAGAGACAGTCACAGGGGACAGAGGTGAGTGCATCTTCATATAGTTTCAAGCACAACATCCTGATGATAAGAAATTAAATTATCGTTCGGACTTGTATACACTATCGGTATTGAAAAGTCATCTAAACCAAATGGATAATGATGTTTTCGTAATCCTTTCACTTTTCTCAGATTTCAAACTACTTTTTATATATTTAGCGTTATTGAAACTTCATCTAATAATCCATATCTAATATATATCTGGGTTTGATACAGAGGAGGGGGACATTAACACCTTATTTATCCTGGGTTTGATACAGAGGAGGGGGACATGAACACCTTATTTATCCTGGGTTTGAGACAGAAGAGGGACATGAACACATTATTTATCCTGGGTTTGATACAGAGGAGGGGGACATGAACACCTTATTTATCCTGGGTTTGATACAGAAGGGGGACATTAACACTTTATTTTTCCTGGGTTTGATACAGAGGAGGGGGACATCAACACTTTATTTATCCTGGGTTTGATACAGAAGAGGGGACATGAGCACCTTATTTATCCTTGGTTTGATACAGAGGAGGGGGACATAAACACTTATTTATCCTGGGTTTGATACAGAGGAGGGGACATGAACACATTATTTATCCTGGGTTTGATACAGAGGAGGGGGACATGAACACCTTATTTATCCTGGGTTTGATACAGAGGAGGGGTCATGTACACCTTATTTATCCTGGGTTTGAAACAGAAGAGGAGACATGAGCACCTTATTTATCCTGGGTTTGATACAGAGGAGGGGGACATGAACACCTTATTTATCCTGGGTTTGATACAGAGGAGGGGACATGAACACTTTATCTATCCTGGGTTAGATACAGAGGAGGGGACATGAACACATTATTTATCCTGGGTTTGATACAGAGGAGGGGACATGAACACCTTATCTATCCTGGGTTAGATACAGAGGAGGGGACATGAACACTTTATTTATCCTGGGTTTGATACAGAGGATGGGGACATGAACACCTTATTTATCCTGGGTTTGATACAGAAGAGGGGACATGAACACCTTATCTATCCTGGGTTTGATACAGAGGATGGGGACATGAACACCTTATTTATCCTGGGTTTGATACAGAGGATGGGGACATGAACACCTTATTTATCCTGGGTTTGATACAGAGGATGGGGACATGAACACCTTATTTATCCTGGGTTTGATACAGAGGAGAGGGACATGAACACCTTATTGATCCTGGGGTTGATACAGAGGAGGGGAACATGAACACCTAATTTCTCATTGGTTTGATACAGAGGAGGGGGAGATGAACACCTGATTTATCCTTGGTTTGATACAGAGGAGAGGGACATGAACACCTTATTGATCCTGGGGTTGATACAGAGGAGGGGGACATAAACACTTATTTATCCTGGGTTTGATACAGAGGAGGGGGACATGAACACCTTATTTATCCTGGGTTTGAGACAGAGGAGGGGGACATTAACACCTTATCTATCCTGTGTTTGAAACAGAGGAGGGGGGCATGAACACCTTATTTATCCTGCGTTTGATACAGAGGAGAGGGGCATGAACGTCTTATTTATCCCGGCTTTGATACAGAGGAGGGGGCATGGAGACCCTCTACATCCTAATTTTGATATCAGCATGGGAGTTATACGGACGGGGATCTTTAGTCACTCTCTTGATTTTTAAAATCTTGTATAAAAGATACCCAAAGACGTCTTCATTGTCGCCGGTCAAACGGAGTCCATATTGAAAAGATACTCTCTCTTTTCTCTTTTCCGAGTTTGACGTCATCACTCTAACTGTTGTTTCTGTTTTTGTTCCGAAACTTATTTGTATGTACAAAGACACTACGTGAATAGCTTACTCTCATTCATGTAAAAATCTTCATTCAAAATAAGGGCGATATATAATATCTCACCACTGATTTTAATCGTACTGTCGTCAATGTTGTTTACCGTGTACACATACTGGAACATAGCATTACTTACTTGAATTCACCAAGTGGATTGATATACATGGCGGGTGTCGTCGATGAAGCAGAAGACGCTTGCCCTTCCTGTACTTTTTTCAGGAATCTCCGTGTGAATTTTAAATGAATCTGAGTTTGAATTATGATTCTGTTGACATGTTGGTATGTTCTGTCTCGGTCTTAATTTCCTTAGATTGTTGATATTGTTTCATACGGCTCAGATTAAGTGACCTATCGACTATACTTATGTATTACAGGCTTCTATTATTAACTTTGTCATATTTAACTGGTAGGTTTTGTCAGTTTCTCTTATTTAACACTGTATCTAAAAAATTCCACCTGAGCTTCATACTTTATTTTTTTTTAGTATCACACTGATTTTCAATTCGTTTGTTTGCAACATTTGACTCATAAATTTAGCTTTTTTTGTATTTTAGAATTTCAACCTCAACTTCTGTGTCGACATGGGTGACCAATCGAACTCGACAAAGCTCACTTGTGATGATGAAAGCAATGCCAGTGAAGACGAGGGGATTATGTGTGGTATATACGAGTGGAAATTCAAAAGTCTTCAATGTTTAGCCAATGTCCAGTCTTTTACCTTCTTTTACAGCCTGGCAGGGCTAATGACGCAGACGTTGACTTTTTACATCAATTCTCAGGTACCAAACCTTGAGAAGCAATTTGGGCTATCGAGCGCTGAGAGTGGCTTGCTAATGAGCTTCAATGATATAGGCTTTTTACTATGTATTTTGTTCGTTAGTTCACTGGCCAGATTTGTCCACATTCCGAGATTTCTATTCTACTGTACGCTCATGTATGGCATTTCCGGTGTAGTTTGTAGCATACCTCATTACATCACTCCAAACATTGACGATTTGTACGTCACTTCCAGTAAAGCAATAGATGTTTTATTACCGACAAACATTAATAAAACCGAGACCAGTAACATGCCTTTATGTGTCCCAGAAATGTCAGCAGAAATTAACAACTTAACGACATGTGAAGATAATAAAAGAAAAGAGATTTTTAAAACGGTAAGCCCAGAATTTAAAACATTATCTATTGTAATAATCGCAATCGGCATGATGGTTCAAGGAATAGGGAAAGCACCAAGAGCCCCGTTTGTGACGGTTTACATAGACGACAACGTGGAAAAGAGGAAAACCGGGTTTTATGCAGGTAAGGCAGGTCATGTTTTAATATGACGTTATAAGATTTCTTTTATTTACTTTTGAAGAAATATTAAGATTCATATATAATATTGCAGTTTGTAGATGTGCTTTTTATATGAAAAAAGGCACTGACAAATTGCGAGCACAATTTGACACCATATGTACTTATAATTTTGAACTATCTGTTTCATGGCTTCACTCAAAATGTTTATAAATGTACATCATCGATATGTATTTTTTATATAATTAAATTTAAACAAATTGGTATATCCAATTAATGCAGATATAATGCAGTTAGGGGAGGCGAAAATACAAATACCAAAAGTTGTGTTAATTTTTGCGCACTTACCCTGCAAGAGACCTACGGAATGTGATGAAGGTTTCTCGACCCTTAAACCGGATAACATATAAAAGCGTTATGGGTATTCTCAGCTACAATTTTTAGATTAGGTTTTCAATTAACGATGTTAACCCCTTGTGCAGTAATTCATCGGTTTCAGGTTAACATTGCATTTTTTTTTTCAAAACCTGTAGGAGACCACACAGCCAATCACAGGAGTGTGTTTTCTTAGTCATGTAACAATATGCCAATGTAGGCCTTGTATGTGTGATTTTAATGATACTGTACATCACAATCACCAGAATAAATAAACAGTATAATGTTATCCTTACTATCAGTAAACAACTTTCTTACCGTCTACACTTCGTCGTTGAAATATTCCGTATACCTCGACCAGGTTATCATCCTCACTTTATCTCTTTAAAAAATCTTTGAAACCTAATTATCTCAACACCCCGTCCTTCTCATCTTGGTATTGGAGAGAGTAGACTATTCACACCAAACATGGAAACCACTGCAGTTCTCTTAATTATGGCCTATTTAGTTTGATTTTGTTCAAAGAAATACCCTTTTCTAACACATAACCGATATTAATTTACCTCTACCATGCGAGTTAGACTTGGTAATGTATGATAATGAGGATTTCTCTATCTTTTTCTTTTCGCTCCCACCCCCAACCGCCATCCCCCCCCCCCCCCCCCCCACCACCCCCACCCCCACCGCCCTCTCTCTCTCTCTCTCTCTCTCTCTCTCTCTCTCTCTCTCTCTCTCTCTCTCTCTCTCTCTCTCTCTCCCTCCTCCTGTCTCTCTGTCTCTCTCTGTGTCTCTGTCTCTGTGTGTGTGTGTGTGTGTGTCTCTCTCTCTCTCTCTCTCTCTCTCTCTCTCTCTCTCTCTCTCTCTCTCTCTCTCTCTCTCTCTCTCTCTCTCTCTCTCTCTCCCTCCTCTCTCTCTCTCTCTCTCTCTCTCTCTCTCTCTATCTCTATCTCTCTCTCTCTATCTCTCTCTCTCTCTCTGTCTCTCTCTCTCTCTCTCTCTCTCTCTCTCTCTCTCTGTCTCACTGTCTCTCTCTGTGTCTCTCTGTCTCTCTCTCTCTCTCTCTCACACTGTCTGTCTGTCTCTGTCTCTCTCTCTGTCTCTCTCTGTGTCTCTCTCTCTGTGTCTCTCTCTGTCTCTCTCTCTCTCTCTCTCTCTCTCTCTCTCTCTCTCTCTCTCTCTCTCTCTCTCTCTCTCTCTCTCTCTCTCTCTCTCTCTCTCTCTCTGGCAAAAAATGATCTACAGTTTTTGTTTTAAGTGTTTTAAGTATTATATCCTATGTATTTACATTTTGTAAAATTATTGTGGGAAGGGCGATCGTAAGTTGTAATAACTTGTGCCTGATAGCTCTGTAAATGATTAGCAATACATTATGTTTTGATTCAGTATAAATGTAAATTCGAGTTTATATTTTATCAAACTTGCATAAATGTTATTGTCGTCATTACTGTAATCTGAGACGATTTAGATTTTAAGTGTAAATGCTACTGTTATTTAACCATTTAACACACAAATCTGAATGTTTACTACCAACATTTTAAGTAGAATTTTGTGTCGCAAACAAAGTAAAAACTTAGAACACAATCTGATGTAAACAATACGTTATATTCTTTTTAAATATGTCTTTTATTTTTTCCATGGAAAAAACTCATATTGAAAATAACTCACAAATATCTAGATTTTAACTTCGCAACCGGCATCTCATTGTAGTAAATATACGTCTTCTCTCCTCTACGTCTCAAGTAAAAAAACAACGCAAATATACAATTTGCCGTACCAGCCCGTGTGCCTACAGTGCAGTCGGCGTTTAATGTTCAACGAAACAATGTTCAGCAGTATAAAAAATCTGATGCAGCCCGATAATGTACATGTGAAATATTCTCTTTTCCTTTACTCTCTCGCCGTCTACGACACAACCTGTCGCCCAGAAAAAAACGGCGATAATCGCCGGAAATCTGTATCCGATTTGGCGGGAAACAATTATATCCCACTGCAGGATGGCCTAGGCGTAACGCTGGACCTGCGTTAATATTGATACAAGCTACATAATATATCTACGGAAAGGCGTTACTCCTACTCAAACTATACCATGCATTTGTAAAATACATTATTCAAACGCTGGAATGCCTGCTACTACATGTCAAAGCTACGATTCCCATTAAAAACAAAACAAAAACAAAAAAAAAAATATATCCACACTGCTCAGCGCACGGCTAGAGAATGTCCTCCTATAGGACTCTACCACCGCATGTGCCCGACTACAGCCTATAGCTACTGCACGTGCTACTTGATCCCGCGTGCCGGTAAGACAAATTAATCCCGCCTTTTCTGATAGAACCGCGGGATTATTTGAATAACGACGTTTTAATCCTCCATTCAAAACATTTTGAAGACCCATAACTTGAAAAATAGAACCGTATTTGATGCATAATACTGATTCGTGGTTGTCTCCCCTCCCCCACTATGCAAATTAGAGACTATCGGAAAGGACTTTTATTATTAAAAATCAATGGAAATCAAATAGCTTTTTAAATGACCTTAATTCAACGAATTAATAGATCTTTAGTCCGCCCATGATTAGGTGTGTCGTGTTGACCTTTCATATTCATATTGATTTTGGGTGAGTCTATATTCATTATTGGGAGGGGGACAAGCTGTTTTTCTATACGCGTAAACAATATACATGTGATATCATGCCTAAAACAATTGAAATAAGATAGTTCAGTTAAAACGTTCAAGGTCCAATGACTTCAAAGTATGCAGCAATATCAAAAACCCAGACAAAATAATGTCAATATATATGATAACCTAACCCACAATATCACCTGTGATTTAAAAAAATACTATACAAAATTAAATAAGAAAGATGTTTCTTTAAATTTGTATTCAAACACTCGGAAACAGACTCAATGTTCTTATACTGTTTTATTTTATATTTGTTTACTGTTTCAATGCATCATGACACACATAAATAGACAGACATATAAATTATTCTCAATGTTTGCATATACACGTGGTTTATTAAACAAACAGGCGGTGATGACGATATATGACATCACTTCCGGTTATTGCAGGAATCATATCGGCTGCAGGTACGATGGGTCCCGCCCTCGCTTTCGGTCTTGGGGGATATTTAAGCAAAATCTACGTCACATTAGAGGGTAGGTATGCTTCTATCATATATTACCGTACTTCTAACGTAAACGTTTTCCCTTAAAGTTACACACCAACACACCACTTATTCATATTTATTTATTTTTGTTTTTGTTTCAGTTGCAAGCAAATCCCGCGGCAGTTAATAAATGAAAATAGCGTAGTAATCTGATAACGCTTCCTGCTGTACTATTTGATTTAACATCTCTTACTACCAAGTGTGATCAAACTGGACACACATGACTAACGAATTCGGCATGATATCTGAATCAATAAAACACTTGAATCTTTCGATAATCTAACAGTAACGCTTCTATTGATGATAATATAAATATCATGGTGAACATTCCAGAAATTGGAGCATGCTGCATTGGATTGCTTTAATTGGAAAACCGAACAAAATTTGTCTTTTATATTTCAAAAGAGATTTATGTTACAAGTAGGTGATTCCAGACAATGTGCCAAATTTCTTGACATGCAGCCAAAGTAAGAACATGTAAGTTTTGGGTGGTAGGGGAGAAAAACCGCAGACCTGCTGGCGGTACATGGCGACTGTCACACGTATGGATCGAACCCGTGACGCTGAGGTGGAGAGCTAGTGATAAAAACGGTTATTTGTGTCGGCCACCACTGCTCCAACATATTCAAAATTCCGTCTGATATAAAACAAGGAAAACTTACCAGCTTTAAATTCAACTATAAAAAAATAAAGTAATATCTGTCATGTTATAATATCTCACGTCAGCTCGAGGAATCGAACCACTACGCCGCCCGACCATCCGATTTACACAGTTTGCACGAATGATTTTCTTTTGATAACAGCCAGATAAAACCTTATCAAATGTTGGTTGGCATCTGGTTCGTTTACAGATTGGATGTATAACACTTGAAAAATTTCCCAAATTTCCCAACGAAAACTGAACATTTGTTTAAGCCGGTATCAAATTGCTCAACATCCCATCGGGAGTTCTTCATTTTTGGCCTCTAGAATTACGGAGAAATCCTCGGAAAACATGGCGCCATTTTTTTAATTTTTATTTTATTATTTTTTTTTTTTTGGGGGGGGGGGAGGGGGGTTATATCTATACCTAAGTTTATACTTTCGGTCCTCCTCACTTGTATGTCTGCCGGTCAGAATATCATTGTATGTGCTTTCTTAACTCATCAGATGTAGAGATGACTCCAAAGGATCCTCGATTTATCGGCGCTTGGTGGCTCGGATTCCTTGTGTTTGGCCTGGGTTCTTTACTAGTTGCCATTCCAGTCGTCATGTTTCCACGTCGGTTCAAGTGGAATCAAAAGAAGATAGAGGAGTATCGAATGGACATGCCAAAAGAAAAACCATTATTGACAACAAGAGCAAAAGTAAAAGGTAAAATAATGCGATTTCTACAAAAAAGATATTATACGAAGTGGAAAGTAAAAACCGTCGCTTTCTTAAACAAATTTTAGAAACAATATCATATTTGCATATTCGTATGATGACCTTTTTTAACATGTATACACAATTGATACAATCTTGATATAAAGCGATACTCTCGTTCTTATTTTTTATCATTCTACTAACCTTTCAAAAATCACTGATCAGCATGATGATGTCTATTACCGTATTGTGAATTTTCAATTTCTAGATAGTAACACGCTTCTCTCCAACCTATGGTATTAACATGTCATAGTTGATTCATCCTCAAGAGCTTGTTTCAAATATCACGAATTCTATGAAATATGTCGGCAGATGATAAAGTATGCATACAACACGTGGTTTTGAGAGATGCACATGTAGGTTGATGCAGAAAGAAGTTGTATAGTCGCCACGATGTTATCACAAGAGATATTCCATTTTCTAGTGCTAAGCTGTATGTGCGCTATGCTCATTATTATACATGTACGTGTTGGTTCCGTTGTTGTTAAGCTAGCTCACATTTGAGAACTTTACTTACTTGCATGGACTATGATTCACATGGCTGGTGTCGTCGATGAAGCAGAAGACGCTTACCCTTCCCGAACACCTGGTCCTATACTCCATGTAGTCTTCCAACTTATTTCTTACAAGATAATGAAATAACCTTAAAAGCAAAAGTGAACGTGTTACAAGTATTTGGAAAAGGTTGATGATAATAACAAAACATGAACTGTCATATCTTTGACAAAAATACACGGTTAAGTCCCAAGCATTTGTTCGAAAAAATGAACCATCGAAAAAAAACTTTACTGTATTGTTGATGTTCATATGTTTTATATTCTTATTTAGATCGTGTTTCGTCCTACTGGCGGATAATGAAGAACCCTATTTACATCAGTATTTTGGTAACAAATAGCTGCATGGTATGTGGACAGACTGGCTACGTGTCTTTCCTGGCAAAGTACATACAGACACAGTTCGGAACTCCTCTGTGGCAATCCAATCTAATCCTAGGTAAACCATGTTTTGTTGTATGACCTCTGCCATCTGATTTCACAATCGCATTAATTTGTCATGCGTGAGTTCACGTTCTGTTAAAAATTGCGACATGCCTGTCCAAGTATTCTCGTTGTTTCTACTTTGAGTGATATATTTTATATTTGATTTGCTTCCGTCCTATATTTTATGAAAATTCTCTTGAGACAACAACTATACATAAGCGCAGCATAATATAAGCTTCAAATTCTTAATATTAGACAAATAAACATCAGTTTAATACCTTAAGGCGCCATTAAACACGGTAATTTTATGGTACGTATTGTTTTCAGCTGTGACCAAACTTCTAGCCTTAGCCATCGGAGCTTTCGTCGGAGGATACTTGACCAGGAAAGTTCCAATGATTCCTCGGAACACCTTTGGACTTTTGCTAATACTCTTCGTTATACAGAACGTGACATTTAGCGCGGGATTCTTCCTTGGTTGTGACCAGCCCAAAGTCGTAGGACCACAAAGGTAAAACACCCATTCACATTTTAGTATTTGACATTAGTTTTTCATCTTTCCATTTACGATTTTTTAAATTTACTTTACTAAGTAGTGTTCATCACGCGTAATTTACAAAATCAATAATCAATATGAGGATTTTTTTTTGAAAAGGCGGTAGGAGAATGCAATCTGGGGGTGTCCTACTTTTTACAATTTCTTGCCACATTTTAAACTAAACTGAACTCCATATGTCCATCATTCTCGGACTTAAATGATAAAAAAAATAATATCGAATTTTTCTTGATGGGCGTCTACATTTGTCTTCATCTTTAACTCTTTGTTTCCTTAACCAGAACTTTTTTTCTGGATCCTGACTTATGCGTTTTTCAAGGTAACTTTATCTTAAAATAAGTCGTAATACATCAAGTTCAGAGTCCCTCAGCGGCGGTGGAGGGATAAGTATGAATTATTCAGAGTCCCTCAGCGGTGGAGGGATAAGTATGAATTATTGAGAGTCCCTCAGCGGTGGAGGGATAAGTATGAGTTATTCAGAGTCCCTCAGCGGTGGAGGGATAAGTATGAATTATTCAGAGTCCCTCAGCGGTGGAGGGATAAGTATGAATTATTGAGAGTCCCTCAGCGGTGGAGGGATAAGTATGAATTATTGAGAGTCCCTCAGCGGTGGAGGGATAAGTATGAATTATTGAGAGTCCCTCAGCGGTGGAGGGGCAAGTATGAATTATAGAGTCCCTCAGCGGTGGAGGGGTAAGTATGAATTATAGAGTCCCTCAGCGGTGGAGGGATAAGTATGAATTATTCAGAGTCCCTCAGCGGTGGAGGGATAAGTATGAGTTATTGAGAGTCCCTCAGCGGTGGAGGGATAAGTATGAATTATTGAGAGTCCCTCAGCGGTGGAGGGATAAGTATGAATTATTGAGAGTCCCTCAGCGGTGGAGGGATAAGTATGAGTTATTGAGAGTCCCTCAGCGGTGGAGGGATAAGTATGAATTATTCAGAGTCCCTCAGCGTTGGAGGGATAAGTATGAATTATTGAGAGTTCCTCAGCGGTGGAGGGATAAGTATGAGTTATTCAGAGTCCCTCAGCGGTGGAGGGAAGTATGAATTATAGAGTCCCTCAGCGGTGGAGGGAAGTATGAATTATTCAGAGTCCCTCAGCGGTGGAGGGGCAAGTATGAATTATTCAGAGTCCCTCAGCGTTGGAGGGATAAGTATGAATTATTGAGAGTTCCTCAGCGGTGGAGGGATAAGTATGAATTATTGAGAGTCCCTCAGCGGTGGAGGGATAAGTATGAATTATTGAGAGTCCCTCAGCGGTGGAGGGATAAGTATGATTTATTGAGAGTCCCTCAGCGGTGGAGGGATAAGTATGAATTATTGAGAGTCCCTCAGCGGTGGAGGGATAAGTATGAGTTATTGAGAGTCCCTCAGCGGTGGAGGGATAAGTATGAGTTATTGAGAGTCCCTCAGCGGTGGAGGGATAAGTATGAATTATTTAGAGTCCTTCAGCGTATGAATTGTTCGAAGTCTCTCACTGATGTAGTTGTATGTATATTTCGGAGTCTCTCAGTGGTGTAGGTGTATGTATTTTTCGGAATCTTTCAGTAATGTAGGTATAAGAATGTTCGCAGTACCATTACATTAAATTGCAGCTGTCGGATTACATGGCATATAACAAAACTGCGCAACATAATGTCTATAAGATGTTCAAATCTTCCTCTTCAAGGAAACTCACCATAACTATGTTTTTATCGAAGCTAAAGCATTATTTTCTTTTATTTGTTTTTATTCTTAAGCTATATGAAAACTGCACGTGCATTGGTAATGGTGGAACTGCGCGTGCTGGCATGTGTGATTCGGATTGTAAAACCCTCATCCCCTGGGCGGTCATTACCTTCTTCGGCTCCATAGCCTCTATGGCAAAAGCAATGCTGAGTTTTATTGCCAAGATCAGGTAAACAAAATTAATACACAACAAGAAATATTTCAAAAAGTAATATGAATTTCTCAGAAATGACCTTTCGGGGTTATTATTATGTTTGATAACAATCATTTGTAACAAATATAATCCTAGATCATCTTAACAAGGTTGAACGGTGTACAGGTGTATAAAATACTTTCGTCAAACATCACGTGTCTACCTGATAGTCTTGATCTATAAACCACGACTGTGAAAGTCCACCGGAAAACTAAAAACCGCTTCCCGTTTTCCTCCATATTTGATAAATATTTCATTGAGTTCAAACTCTATAACTGCAAATGTTATTTTTGCGGTTACAAAGATACAACACAGTAGTATCTGTATATATATATAACTATATATATATTTGTACTAATCTTTAGTACTGCTCTGTCCTAAATGTAAACGTTACTTATAAAAACAACAAACGAAAAACCAACGTCTACAATTTTTTTTTTCCTAATTTTCGTTTTACTATTATTTTCTTTTTTTTTCAACTTTATACCGTCCTTGAATATCACGGAATTGTCACGGATACTATTTCATTCCTACTTATCCCATCCATGACTTACCTGTGTGACGATTTTATCTTTACAGGTGTGTAGAGGACCGAGATAAGTCCACAGCTATGGGAGTGCAGTCCTTTTGTCTCTCGCTTCTAGGTATATTGTTCTACCTTGTACAACATGTTGTAAACCACATTGTAATGTTTTCAAGACGAACGTCAATAGTGAAATCATGTTTTCATATTTCAAAAAGGATACATTATTATGTTTGATAACATTTTGTAACAAGTGAAATCAGTGTACATTACGTTCTAATGTAGCATCTTTTCAGTTATATAGATTTTATGATGTAGTGTGATACTGATGATGTGGTGTGATACCGATGATGTAGTGTGATATTTATGATGTAGTGTGATACTGATGATGTAGTGTGATACTGATGATGTAGTGTGATACTGATGATGTAGTGTGATACTGATGATGTAGTGTGATACTGATGATGTAGTGTGATACTGATGATGTAGTGTGATACTGATGATGTAGTGTGATACTGATGATGTAGTGTGATACTGATGATGTAGTGTGATACTGATGATGTAGTGTGATACAGATGATGTAGTGTGATACTGATGATGTAGTGTGATACTGATGATGTAGTGTGATACTGATGATGTAGTGTGATACTGATGATGTAGTGTGCTACAGATGATGTAGTGTGATATTTATGATGTATATACTTATGATGTAGTGTGATACTGATGATGTTGTGTGCTACAGATGATGAAGTGTGCTAGAGATGATGAAGTATGATACTGATAATGTAGTGTGATATTTATGAGGTAGTGTGATACTGATGATGTAGTGTGATACTGATGATGTAGTGCGCTACAGATGATGTAGTGTGATACTGACGATGTAGTGTGATATCTCTGATGTAGTGTGCTACGGATGATGAAGTGTGATACTGATGATGTAGTGTGCTACAAATGATGTAGTGTGCTACAGATGATGAAGTGTGATACTGATGATGTAGTGTGATATTTATGATGTAGTGTGATACTGATGATGTAGTGTGATACTGATGATGTAGTGTGATACTGATGATGTAGTGTGATACAGATGATGTAGTGTGATATTTATGATGTTGTGTGATACTGATGATGTAGTGTGATACTGATGATGTAGTGTGATGAAGTGTGATACTGATGATGAAGTGTGATACTGATGATGTAGTGTGCTACAGATGATGTAGTGTGCTGATATAGTGTGCTACAGATGATGTAGTGTGATACTGATGATGTAGTGTGATACTGATGATGTAGTGTGATACTGATGATGTAGTGTGATACTGATGATGTAGTGTGATACTGATGATGTAGTGTGATATTTATGATGTAGTGTGATACTGATGATGTAGTGTGATACTGATGATGTAGTGTGATATTGATGATGTAGTGTGATACTGATGATGTAGTGTGATACTGATGATGTAGTGTGATACTGATGATGTAGTGTGATACTGATGATGTAGTGTGATACTGATGATGTAGTGTGATACTGATGATGTAGTGTGATATTGATGATGTAGTGTGATACTAATGATGTAGTGTGATACTGATGATGTAGTGTGATACTGATGATGTAGTGTGATACTGATGATGTAGTGTGATACAGATGATGATGTGATAGTAGTATGATATTGATGATGTAGTGTAGTGTGATACTGATGTATGTGATACTGTGATGTATATTGATGATGTAGTGTGATACTGATGATGTAGTGTGATACAGATGATGTATGTATACTGATGATGTAGTGATATTGATGATGTAGTGTGATACTGATGATGTATGTGATACTGATGATGATACTGATGATGTAGTGTGATACTGATGATGTAGTGTGATACTGATGATGTAGTGTGATACTGATGATGTAGTGTGATATTGATGATGTAGTGTGATATTGATGATGTAGTGTGATACTGATGATGTAGTGTGTGATGATGTAGTGTGATACTGATGATATGTGATATTGATGTAGTGTGATATTGTGTGTGATACTGATGATGTAGTGTGATACTGATGATGTAGTGTGATATTGATGATGTAGTGTGATACTGATGATGTAGTGTGATACTGATGATGTAGTGTGATACTGATGATGTAGTGTGATACTGATGATGTAGTGTGATACTGATGATGTAGTGTGATATTGATGATGTAGTGTGATACTGATGATGTAGTGTGATACTGATGATGTAGTGTGATATTGATGATGTTGTGTGATACTGATGATGTAGTGTGATACTGATGATGTAGTGTGATACTGATGATGTAGTGTGATACTGATGATGTAGTGTGATACAGATGATGTAGTGTGATATTGATGATGTAGTGTGATACTGATGATGTAGTGTGATACTGATGATGTAGTGTGATATTGATGATGTAGTGTGATATTGATGATGTAGTGTGATACTGATGATATAGTGTGATACTGATGATGTAGTGTGATATTTATCATGTGGTGTGATATTGATGATGTGTGATACTGATGATGTAGTGTGATACTGATGATGTAGTGTGATACAGATGATGTAGTGTGATACTGATGATGTAGTGTGATATTTATCATGTGGTGTGATATTGATGATGTGTGATACTGATGATGTAGTGTGATACAGATGATGTAGTGTGATATTGATGATGTAGTGTGATATTTATGATGTATGATACAGATGATGTAGTGTGATACTGATGATGTAGTGTGATACTGATGATGTAGTGTGATATTGATGATGTATACTGATGATGTGATACTGATAATGTAGTGTGATATTGATGTAGTGTGATATTGATGTGGTGTGATATTGATGATTTGTGATACTGATGATGTAGTGTGATACTGAAGATGTAGTTTGATATTTATGATGTTGTGTGATACTAATGATGTAGTGTGATATTGATGATGTAGTGTGATATTGATGATGTAGTGTGATACTGATGATGTAGTGTGATACTGATGATGTAGTGTGATACTGATGATGTAGTGTGATATTGATGATGTAGTGTGATATTGATGATGTAGTGTGATACTGATGATGTAGTGTGATACTGATGATGTAGTGTGATACTGATGATGTAGTGTGATATTGATGATGTAGTGTGATACTGATGATGTAGTGTGATATTGATGATGTAGTGTGATACTGATGATGTAGTGTGATATTGATGATGTAGTGTGATACTGATGATGTAGTGTGATACTGATGATACTGATGTGTAGTGTGATACTGATGATGTAGTGTGATACTGATGAAGTAGTGTGATACTGATGATGTAGTGTGATATTGATGATGTAGTGTGATACTGATGATGTAGTGTGATACTAATGATGTAATGTAATATTGATGATGTAGTGTGATACTGATGATGTAGTGTGATATTGATGATGTAGTGTGATACTGATGATGTAGTGTGATATTGATGATGTAGTGTGATATTGATTATGTAGTGTGATACTGATGATGTAGTGTGATATTGATGATGTAGTGTGATATTGATGATGTAGTGTGATATTGATGATGTAGTGTGATGTTTATGATGTAGTGTGATACTGATGATGTAGTGTGATACTGATGATGTAGTGTGATACTGATGATGTAGTGTGATACTGATGATGTAGTGTGATACTGATGATGTAGTGTGATACTGATGATGTAGTGTGATATTGATGATGTATTGTGTTAGTGATGATGCAGTGTGATACTGATGATGTAGTGTGATACTGATGATGTAGTGTGATATTGATGATGTGATATTGATGATGTAGTGTGATACTAATGATATAGTGTGATACAGATGATGTAGTGTGATATTGATGATGTAGTGTGATAATGATGATGTAGTGTGATACTGATGATGTAGTGTGATATTTATGATGTAGTATGATACAAATGATGTAGTGTGATACTGATGATGTAGTGTGATACTGATGATGTAATGTGATACTGATGATGTAGTGTGCTACTGATGATATAGTGTGATACTGATGAAGTAGTGTGATAGTGATGATGTAGAGTGATATTGATGATGTAGTGTGATATTGATTATATAGTGTGATAGTGATGATGTAGTGTGATATTTATGATGTAGTGTGATACCGTGAATGTAGTGTGATATTGATGATGTAGTGTGATATTGATGATGTAGTGTGATACTGATGATGTAGTGTGATATTGATGATATTGTGTAATACTGATGATGTAGTGTGATATTGATGATGTAGTGTGATATTGATGATGTAGTGTGATATTGATCATGTAGTGTGATACTGATGATATTGTGTGATACTGATGATGTAGTGTGATACTGATGATGTAGTATGATAGTGATGATGTAATGTGATACTGATGATGTAGTGTGATACTGATGATGTAGTGTGATACTGATGATGTAGTGTGATATTGATGATGTAGTGTGATACTGATGATATTGTGTGATACTGAAGATGTAGTGTGATACAGATGATGTAGTGTGATATTGATGATGTAGTATGATATTTATGATGTAGTATGATACAGATGATGTAGTGTGATACTGATGATGTAGTGTGATACAGATGATGTAGTGTGATACTGATGATATAGTGTGATATTTTGATGTAGTGTGATACAGATGATGTAGTGTGATACTGATGATGTAGTGTGATACTGATGATGTTGTATGATACAGATGATGTAGTGTGATACTGATAATGTAGTGTGATATTTATGTGGTGTAATACTGATGATGTAGTCTGATACTGATGATGTAATGTGATACTGATGATGTAGTGTCATACTGATGATGTAGTGTGATACTGATGATGTAATGTGATACTGATGATATAGAGTGACATTGATGATGTAGTGTGATATTTATGATGTAGTGTGACACTGATGATGTAGTGTGATACAGATGATGTAGTGTGATACTGATGATGTAGTGTGATATTGATGATGTAGTGTGATACTGATGATGTAGTGTGATACTGATGATGTAGTGTGATACAGATGATGTAATGTGATATTGATGATGTAGAGTGATACTGATAATGTAGTGTGATATTGATGTAGTGTGATACTGATGATGTAATGTGATACTGATGATGT